ATTTCCCCATTTTAGCTATTTCTTTTTCTTTCCTGAAGTTTTTCTCTGTCCATGTGTTATGAATAGTAATTTTTCTTCGAATGAGAATGGTCACTTAGACGATATATATTGTTGAATCCTCCAGATATGCTGAATCATTCCTTTAAGCCAAATTGCTTTTTCCATTGGCGTTTCAAGGACAGAATGCTTGAAGTGATGATAAATGCTGGCCAACCGATAAAAAAAGGAGAAGAGGTAATTATGTAAAAAAAGATACAGTAGCTATTATCCACACCATCTAAATGCATCATCTGATTTGGGTTTGACATGCATATTTGGCTCAAGTTAACTGCGGTTCAATAATAAGTTAATAACTATCTGATTTAAGCTTCATAATGGTGCAGATGAGAGTTAATTATATGTCTGGGCAGACGAACAACTTTTTCATGCAAAGATATGGATTTTCATCACCAGTGGTAATTTCTTTTATCTTCACTTTCTCCTCTTAAGAACTCTCTGTAAACTTCCTGTTCTCCTCTATTTTAAAATGTAATGCACTAATGCCGTATATTTCAAAACAACCATCCCTTTAGGAAGGAAGCGTTTTAATAATTTAAAATTTCCTTTGAGTTTCACCCTTATGTTATTTTTTATCGATCTCATGTGTTGTTACTTGTTATTGAAAAGACAATGTTGTTATTTTACACACATAAGTGACATAACTATACCTGATAAATAAATTTATCGATATCTGTGCTACAACCTTGAATAACTATTTTGAAGCAGAGCTAACCCAAATATTGTTATCTCTTGTTTGCATATTTTATTAGGCATCATGTTATCCAGAAGTGTATAAACCTTTTCAGGATTGTCTTGATGGTTTACCTCTTGAGTAATTTATATTTCTATGAAGTAATACATAATAGAATTTGCTTGATTAATTAATTTCAGAATCCTTGGGATGTCATTGGATTCTCAGGAAATGCACAAGTTCATCTGGACTCATTCTTATCAGTGTTCAACATATCTGGCCTCCCAGAAGAGTATTACCATAATAGTAATGCCCCATGTTTCCTTCATTCTGTAGTTGGTTACCGTTTTTTCTTGGGAAAACTATCAAATAAGCCCCCATACTATACCGAAAAAGTCGATTAGGCCTTCGTACTTTACAAACACTCAATTAAGTCCTCGAACTATTAAAAAACGTTCAATTAAGCCCTTTTGGTCGGTAAGTAAACGGTTTCCCGGTTAAATGTAAGCTGTTTCCCGGCAGTCGTCGTTGCTGGGGTTCGAGCACATCATCGCCGTCGTCGCCGTTTAACCGAGAAACCGGTTACTTACCGACCAAAAGGGCTTAATTGAACGTTTTTTAATAGTTTGAGGACTTCATTGAGTGTTTCTAAAGTACGAGGGCCTAATCGACTTTTTCGGCATAGTACGAGGTCTTATTTGATAGTTTTCCCTTTTTTCTTTGTTAGTGTTACATGTCCCATTTATGTTTACCAAATCTATATCTAGGGTATCAGTATGGGGTATGGGACTATGGGGTAAGCTTGACATCTAGAAAATCTGTTTAGGGCGAGTTATGCCGAATTTCATATGGTACGTATCGGAGCTTGCCTCGGTTGGGTGTGTTTATTAGTCTTTTTGGGACTTATGGTTTTGAGTAGTCTATTTGGAGTCAGTTTGGCCCTTTTGTCCACATCAAGTTGTTCGGCCGGGTGTGGCTTCGGGAGATGTTCTAACTTTTAAGTGTCCAAATGGGATGTTTATCAAATTCATATCTTACATATAAGTGTGTGATAAAGCTTACTTCTCTTCAAGATCTTTTTTGAGTGAATGGTCCCAATTTAAAACTTAAGAGTGGTTGTATGATATGGAAACAGGTGAGCTATCATCAAATAAGGGAGGAGAGAGCTTTGTTGATGGAGTGGTCATAGCAGCAGCAAGAACACTGCCCGTGTGGACGAATAAAGATGTGCCCCCAATTCCTAGTCTCGAGAGGAAAGCTGTGAAGGAATTGCGAGATGAATGCCGCCAGATGCTGGCATCATTCCCAACAACTCTTGATGAAGACCAGAAAATCCTAGGTATAGTAACTAGTTTTGGTCAAATAACTAGCAGTCCCTGCCCCGCTTTAATAGTTTTGGTAACCGATTTTCATCTTTTGCCAAAATGATATACTCCGTATAATATTCATGAAAAATGATTTGTAATGTGAGAGTAATGTAAAGTTCATATTTGGCAAGGGTTCTCTCGCAAAAGTACACATTATATTTTTTACTAAAACACATCAATTGAAATATTGGTCAAAGTTTGACATCTTTGACCTCAGAAGTCAAACATGGCCAATTGAAGTCGTTAAATAACTTCTACATTGAGCTGGTTCAAAATAAAGCAAAGATAAAATACTGCATAGAAATACATGATCTAACTAATGAAAAAGTTGATCCTAGTTTAAAGCCACAACTGTTCTTTGGGAAGAGGTGAAACTTTGTTTTTTAAAGATATTATGGTGGAGTGGTGGATGCTTGATGGGTTAAATTGCTGCTTGTCTGCTAGATTGAGTTAATGTCATGAACGAGCAATATGGAGAGGGCTAACATTTAACACTTTGATGATATTGTTAAACAATAAAACTTGGGGGTTATTAAGTTTAGTCCAACCTTTTATTTAACACTTTGATGATATTGTTAAACGATAAAACTTGGGGGTTGTTAAGTTTAGTCCAACCTTTTATTTTTTTAACATCATTGCTTCTCTTAAGTTAGATGAGATTGTGACTTTGGAGAGGGCAGAGTGGAGGAAGAACATGCATTTGGATTTTGGAGGATTGATCTTATATATTGTTTGTCTATCTATTTCTGTAATTATTGTTTTTCAACTCCAATATCATATGTCAATTCAGTCGGTTCATGTTAGCCGGCCCCATACTCTTGTAAATAAGGCTTGGATGTTGTTGTGATGCTTCTCTTTTTAAATAAGGTTAATTTCTTTCGAACAGTTTTGTGTAATGTCCTATGATTGTAACCTTTTGAGATATGTGGCTTTATTATGAACAGATTCATTGACTGAACCCAAGAGGACAATTCAAGCAGCAATAAAGTCAGTAAAAAGTTTCCATATCTACCACATGGATCTCATCTGTAATCTTAATCTGATCGGTTGAACCATTCAACTTCTAACTAAATATTAAGAATTGTTTCTTTATTACAGGTATAGGCTGGACAAGAAATTGTTCATACAGAAGGTCATTCAAACACTTGAGGTTTATCAAGACCAAATTCTGTTCTAGAAGTAAACTACCAAAAAGGGAGAAAACATAAACTCATACTGTTTATCGAATTGTTTCCTTTCTGCCATTTTTTGCCCTGATCGTATGTGTTCAAGTTCAAAATGTTCAAGACGAAGAAAAAGTTAAACTAAGGAAGAAAAGGCACCCCCTTCAAGTCTGAAATGCTACTTCAACTTCTGAATAGGAATCGGATTTGGTGAGCTAAGAAGTGATTTTGTTGTTGTAGAGTGTAGACCCCAGAAATCAGAGTAATTATTTCTTGCTTTTTTAGTCCAAAATTCATAGCTATATAGGTAACTACGTTTCTGAAAACTTATAGTGATACCGGCGGGATTGGGTGAGGGAAATGTTTAGGAAATGAATAATTTAGGAAATGTTTATAATGAAGGGTTGTTTAATTCATGAAGAATATGAGACTATGAGAGTGATTTCATACTCATTCTTTTAATTATATCTGTCACTTATTTTTGTGTCAGAATTACATAGACAAATACTATACATTTGTATAACCTGCGATCTGCAATTGTCATCGCTGCTAAAAAAAACTTTTTTGTAAACAAGAAGATACATTTTTGTGTACATTCTCTAATTGCCTGTGTATAAAGGTAACTCGTTTAGAAAAGATCAGTGAACCTATGTGTACATAGGTGAGTGTACAAACCGTACAGATTCTGTGTACTCCAAGAATTACGCATACTTAACGAGCTTGAGGATATACATGATATGGGGATGATTCAAATAAAAAGTGGTCTTCCTGTACAAAGTGCGAAATTTGCACTTTTTCATGTTTCGCTTGCATGTTTTCTTGTTTTCGTTGCACTTATTCATGGTAGTAAAAAAATTGGGTTATTTACAAAATTGTCACTGTCATTTTGGCCGATCTTGGCCAAAATCGCAATGATGGAAAAGTGTAACGGAAACAAACGAAACATGCAAAAGTGGAAATTTCGCACTTTGCACGGGGATACCACTTTTTATTTGAACTCTTCCCTACATGATATACATACATAAAATACACTTTTGATCGGGAATATAAATGGTTAATAAAGTACTCATACTTAACGAGCCTTGAAGATATACATAATATACATACTATACATAAAATACACTTTTGACCGATTCATATTTTCTTTATGAACTTGATTTATATAACTATTTTGTACTCATATTTTCTAATAACAAGGAATTGAAAGCCGAATTGTAACAAGACAGCCGTGTTGTGCCCAGAATTTTGGAATTTTAGTCTCCCAAGCTCAAAATATTTAATAATGGCCAAATCTCTCAATTGTTGTATCTGTGTATTATTCCATATCTTGTTTCCAAGTTTCAGAACTTATGTATTTGTATAAATTGGTATTTTAAACCATTTCAGAGAGGGCAATTATGGCTTGCCTTAAGCCTTTAATAACTTTGTTCTTTGTATTTTCATTGTTTTTCAGATTTATGTCTTTATATAATTCTAATTTTTATATTCACTTTTACTTTCAATTTGACAATATCACTCTATGAAGACCCCTAAAGAATAGTTGTAAATTATAGATGTTTTTTTATTTTACTTTGACAAAAAAAATTATTCTTGTAATATTTACTTTTGTTTTTTACATTTATGTTGCAACAAATATCAATTTATACTAGAAAATAAATTTTGTTAAATACATATGTAGTATTACTTTACTACATTTTGACTTTTTCTTTAATATACATTATTTAATTAAAGTTTGGCCCCCGCTGAATGATAAAGCTAGATCCGCCCCTGCCCGTGTACACAGACAGTTGCTATTTATTCTGAACGTGGTGTGTATATACACATGAAAGTGTCTACAAATTATGTTGTTGGATAATTGATACCCATATTGTATAAACAGGAGAAATTGAACAAGAATCAAAAGGAGTAATGGAGAAGAAGAAGAAAAATGTGTATTGTGTATGAACTATGAGTTATTGAGTTATGGTTTACAAGTCTCCTATAAGGAGTATATATAGAGAAAATCCGGGTCTGGGCCTCTAATATGGGCCTGACAGACCCGGTTACATAAACGGACTGATAGTATAAAAAGCTGATCTAGAACATCTGAATAATAATAACAATGTACAATAATATTAATGATATCCGCTAAACGTGTGTGGGCCGCTGTCCAGGCCTAGTAGTCGGCGTACCGGGGGGTCGGAGTCCATATAATCCATCAGGAGTCCCCCACTCCCTGAGTCGAGAGTACTCGAGGCGAAAGGGAGTAGTCCAAACTGTATCTGCAACGTTCTTCCTCTCCGGCCGGGGGACCACCACCCTTGTCCATTATGGGGAGGTGCCTCGTTAAAAACCTTTATTAGGAAAAACCCAGTGGGAAAAAATCCTAATAAAGGGAAAAAGAGTACACCTAGCGCCCCCAACATGAAACAAGGAAGGTAAATCCCCTTCGGCATAATCAATCTAGCTCAGCTGCTCTTCAACTAACTCAGCTCTCGTTCCTGCTCTTGCGTGATATTTTTTGCTCATCTAGAAATTCTGACCCCTCAGTCCCCCAGTCCCCACTCTTTGAGGCGAGTGGAGACGAGGTGAAAATGAGTAGTCATCTTCGTACCTACACATTTATCATACATAAAAAAAATTTTTCTTGGGATTTATGTTCCCGATCGGGAGTTCGTCACTTGAAACAAGTGGAGATGTGAATTGTTAATCTAATGATAAAATACTTAGTAGAATGGATGTGTGAGCCATTCGTAAGCAACGGTCGCCACTCGAGGAATGACTAAGACCGGTCTTCGTACCCGACTTGGTCGAGGTTTTGTCTTCATGCCCGACTTGGTCGGGGCTTTGTGCCTGAGGAGACAGGGCTTTGTGCCTGAGGAGTCAGGGCTTTAAATCCTAGTGATGGGTCTCAAGCCACACTCTACTAGGCATTTGATCATAAGTGCGTGATAGTATGACATTTAACCGACAAAAAATATTGATTTAATTAAATACTAATAATATTAAAATTAAAGTGTACTTATCTTTTTAAAGTGGACTGAAACATTGGACTGCTTGGCCTGAAATATGTTCCCTCTTAGCCCAAAAAGTCAGCGGGACTTTTTTAATCGTTGACTGGAGTCAACTGAAGTGCTTGACCACTTTTGCAAATGATGTGTGCGGGCAAATCACATGTGGCCTGGCCCACTGCCTTACTCTTGGTGCGTCCCAATTGATATCAATCTTGGCAGGCCTTTGATTACTATGGCCCATACTCAAATCATGCAGCCTGGCGTTAGGTGTGGAGATAAGGGAGGCAGGTCATTGATGCCAGAAAGGGATGGAACAGACAGGTCATCCCTGTCCTTGATGTCCCCGGAAAGGGATGGAACAGACCCTTGGCCGCTCATTGCATACTGCCGCCGCCAGCAAGGACTCGAAACGAGGTCGTCGCTGGCAGACGGAGAAAGAAGGCCCAGGGAGGTCCTCGTCTCGCTGCAGCTTCGGAGGAATGAACGAAAGGAGAAGAGGCCACCTCCGCCACCAGGCCTTTCCGGTCGCCGCTCGTGAACGCTGCTGTACCGGACCGCTGGGCGCTTGAAAACATCATCTTTGTTGGAAATGTTGTTGCTTCGTGCGACACTGGGCACTGGGCTGTCCCCGGCGAGATCTGGAGCGGAAACCTTGTGAAGGGAGCTTGATGTGGCCATTCATGGCAGAAATTGTGGCGAGGTGAAGAAGCTTATGGCCACTTCCGTGTTAAGCTTAATGGTCTCGTGCACGGACGCCACTGGTAAAGGAGGCTGGATGCTTGGAAACATCGCCGGTAAGCGTCGCTAATCGTCGCCGGAGAGTGAAAGAGATTTATCGGGACTGCTGCTGCTCTGTACAATTTTGCCCTGTCTCCGTCGAGATCTGGACTGAAAGCTTTGCACAGGGAAATTGTCGTGGCCATTAATGGAGGGCTCACTAGACTGGTGTGGACCTGCGACCGGCGGAACTGGTGGAGAAGCAAACTTCAAGAGTCGATTGTTACTGTGGCGAAGGTGGAGAAACTGGACGCGGGATCGTTCATCTCTTCTAGGTGATCCCAGACGGCCATTGATGACGGACCATCCTTGGAGAAACAGATCCGGAGTAGTGACGTGTCCTGAAGCAGTGCACGTGAGATCTTGACGGCGACCTCCGCGTTTGTTCCCAGGCCAGGTGCGGCGGTAGGCGATGGCTTGGACGATGACCAATCTCCGGTCAGAGTTGGGACCTCTCCGATCTGAAGTGGCAGATTCATCACGTTGTTCTTTTTTCTCTTTTTCTTTTTTGCAATTTCCAGAACAGTTATGGCTTGGTTTTTTTGTGAGTTTGGATGAATTTTTTGGGTAATTTGGGGAGTTTTTGGTTAAGCGGGGAGGATTTCTCACTTGATTGTGTTCAACCTCTCAACGAGAGCACCATTGTTGGATAATTGATACCCATATTGTATAAACAGGAGAAATTGAACAAGAATCAAAAGGAGTAATGGAGAAGAAGAAGAAAAATGTGTATTGTGTATGAACTATGAGTTATTGAGTTATGGTTTACAAGTCTCCTATAAGGAGTATATATAGAGAAAATCCGGGTCTGGGCCTCTAATATGGGCCTGACAGACCCGGTTACATAAACGGACTGATAGTATAAAAAGCTGATCTAGAACATCTGAATAATAATAACAATGTACAATAATATTAATGATATCCGCTAAACGTGTGTGGGCCGCTGTCCAGGCCTAGTAGTCGGCGTACCGGGGGGTCGGAGTCCATATAATCCATCATATGTATATAAATAGAATTTTTTTAAGGCTATGTTTGACACAATGTATGATTTGAACGTGGTCAAATCGATTAATGCGTGTCAAACATAGCCTTAAAAACAATAAATACATTATCTCTCTGCTTATTTGAAGGATCTTACATCATTTTGATAAGTTTTTCTTAACAATGTCAAGCACAATGTCTAGATGAAGACATTGTGATTGACATTGCAGACAAAAACTTACCATAAACACATAAGACCGTGGAAAGAAGGAGAGAGATATTGTATTTATTGTTTTTTAATTGGTTATTTCTCATGCCACGTATGCACCGTTAACGTTTTAGCATTGGAGATGCTCTTAGTGATTCGATTTACGGTTTGACCTTTTGGGTTAAAAAACCGACGGAATCAAAACCGACCGATAATAACCAACAAAACATGCTAAAACTGATAAAACCGACCGAAATTAACCGAACTAAAATCGAACTGAAATCGATTCAAATAAAGTGTGGTTCGGTTACGGTTTCACCTTTACCAAACAGAACTAACGAACAGTCGAACACCCCGAGCTCCACTAATCATGAACTTGAAGTCAAGCTATGTCGTGATGGACATCAAAATGGCCCAAAATGTGCAACCTCTTCACTTACTCTTACTACCGCCCGCCTTATCGGGGACCGGAATTCCAGGACCACATCAAGCCGCCCACCTTGAGAGGCACCTTCCCTTTCCTATTACGTGCCCCTCCATGATCTGTGACCTGGTTCCGCCACTGACCTCAACCACACAATTTTTACTTTTTTATTTTTCGTACCGGTTAAACTTGACAAATTTTAAAGGACAAAGGAAATATGAGACAAATTTAATGACACGGACGAGAAATGTAAAAGGGACAAAACACAGGGGATTTTTTTTTTTTTTTTGAAAAACTGAGTACAAATGAAAAAGTAGGTTTTATTCCTTGGGTCCCGCATCTTGCTCTTAGCCTCTCATATAAGAACTCGCTGTAATTTACCTTTTTGGAAGGTCCATACATGAACTCACCGTAATATACTCCCTTTGTATAAGTATTTGAATATCTCAAAAATGGCTTTTTCACTACGTTGGATTGCAACCAGCTTGTATAGATGGGCAAGGGGCAAGATGTTGGCCATCTTGTATTTGAATCACTATACAAAGAGAGAGGGAATGAGTGAAGGAGAAGGAAGAAGAGCTGTTGCTGCTGCCAAGGTAAGATCAATCTTCGTTTACTCAATCAAATCATGCCACGGCATCTCCGTTTCTCAGGCACCCATCTCCCCAACTGGTACAATACATTTACCTTTCTCTGAATTAAAGTTTGTATCTTTTCGTTTTCTTTTAAAGTTTGTATCTTTTCAAGTTTCTCTAATTCTTGTATCTATGCATTACCAGTTATGACTTTCACACCGTCTGAACGCCGGGAAAGCTCAAAGTTATGAACTTTTTTTTAATGTGGTGGAATTGAATATTCGATGATCTATGTATAGGTTAAGGTAGGCCAAAATTCAGGCCTACTTCAGGGTAACTTATTCTTTTCCAATTATTTAGTTTGAATTGTTTCATTTTTCATATTTAGCTAACCCGGTAAATAAATAGTCTTCGGTCCAGTCCAACCCAACTTCCTGGATCCGCCCTTGCGTAGATGCATAAAACTAAAAGCAGCTTTAGAAACTATTTACGCAGAAAGAGATATTTGAGTAGTTGGGTCATTGTGCAGTAGTACTTCTAAGATATACAAATTGCTCTTAGAAACAGTTTTTTAAAAGAGAGGGAAATCAGTTTTTTAAAAAAATTGATTATGACTCAACTTTTACTTTTAAAAAGGGAAAGTTCCCGAAATAGGACTAAAATAGTTTGAAAATTCCAAAATAGGACTGACATATTTTTTATTCCCAAAATAGGAGTAATTACTGCCAAGTTTGGGAAATACTGCCATGTTTGAAGTCTGATACTACCAAAACATGACAGTAATTAATCCTATTTTGGGAATAAAAACATGACAGTCCTATTTTGGAATTTTCAAACCTTTTTAGTCCTATTTTGGGTAATATCTCTTTCATCTTCATGTTACGACACCACCACCATCGGTTCCTTCACCGCAGCCCCATCTTCACCAACACCTGATGTCCCAGGCCACCTCGACAACACCACACACACCGACCACTTTTCACCCATCTCCTACACCGAACACCCCGACCACCCCGATCACTGCATCCTCCAGCCCGTTTACTTCCCAATCTGCCAGCACCCCACATAACTCCTCCACCATATCTAGTAAATCAACAACCCAGACCTCACCCAGCTTCACGTCCAACTCAAGCGCCACACCTTCTTCCTCACCGCCGACTTCCCCGGTTAATTGTCATCCCATGCAAACACGTGCTAAAGATGGAATTTTTAAACCCAAAATCATTTTTAATCTCAAAACAGATATTTCGGCATGTGATCCTTCGTGTTTTTCTATTGCTAATAAGGATGCTAAATGGCGAGGTGCTATGGCAGAGGAGTTTAATGCACTTATTGATAATCATACTTGGGATTTAGTTCCATTTACTCCTCATAAAAATGTGGTTGGGTCTATATGGATTTATAAAATTAAATATAATTCTGACGGGTCAGTTGAGCGGCACAAGGCACGATTGGTGGCTCAAGGCCAGGTTTACTCAACAGGCAGGTGTAGATTTTTCCGAGACATTTAGTCCTGTTGTTAAGCCCACTACTGTTCGTATTGTCTTATCTCTTGCTATTTCCTTTCGATGGGCTATTCGTCAGTTACATGTTAAAAACGCCTTTTTACATGGCAATCTGACTGAAGAGGTTTATATGCGTCAGCCTCCGGGGTTTATTCATCCACAGTTTCCACATCATTTATGTCGTCTCCGGAAGGCTATTTATGGTCTTAAACAGGCTCCAAGAGCCTGGTTTTATCGATTCAGTAGTTTTTTGTTGACACATGGTTTTGTATGCAGCAAGTCTGATAATTCTCTGTTCATTTACAGACATGGGCCGTCCATTATTTATCCTTTACTTTATGTTGATGATATTATTGTCACTGGTAATTCCCCATCCTTTATTTCTACGTTTATTTCTTGTCTTGGCCGATGCTTTGCCATGAAGGATTTGGGGGATTTACACTTTTTCCTAGGTGTCCAGGCTGTTCGAGTACCCTCTGGTTTGTTTTTATCACAACAAAAATATGTATCTGATCTTCTCAGCAGGTTTCACCTTCATACTCTCAAGCCTGTTAGTACTCCTCTTCCTACACGAACTAAACTCTCTCACACTGATGGAGAGCTTCTGGCAGATCCTACTGAGTATAGGAGTATGGTAGGGGATTTGTAGTATTTGCCATGACTAGACCTGATATTACATTTGATGTTCACCTGGTTTCTCATATCAATTCATGCATGCACCTCGTACATCTCATCTTTTGGTTGTTAAGCGTATTTTCAGGTATCTTCAAGGGACTATCGGTCATGACCTGCTCCTTCAGCCGAGCTCAGCTTCTCCTACTTTACAGGCTTATTCTGATGCAGACTGGGCAGGTTGCCCTAATAGCAGCAGATCCACCTCCGGGTTTGCTATTTTTCTGGGGACGAATTTAGTCTCTTGGAAGTCTAAAAAGCAGCCTACTATCTCTCGCTCCTCCACAGAAGCTGAATATCGGGCCATTGCCTACGCGGTTCAAGATACTCTACACATCCGTTCCATCCCTTTTGAACTCGGATACCCGATCCGAGAGCCAGTCAAGCTTCTGTGTGATAATGTGTCTGCTTCTTATTTATCTACAAATCCTATTCAACATGCTCGCAGCAAGCACATCAGTATTGATTATCATTTTGTTCGTGAGAGAGTTGCTCATGGCGATCTTTCTGTTCGCTATGTTCCAACGCAATTTCAGCTTGCAAATATATTCACTAAGTGTTTGTCTCCACAACGTTTTATATTTCTTAGGGACAATCTGCGCATTGTTTCCCTTGCACAGCTTGAGGGGGTGTAATAGAATAATTAATACTTTAATTAGGTTTCCATATTTCTTATGTTTCCTAATGTACTCAGAACACCTTTTATTATATACTCTCTCCGTTTCAGTTTGGTTGACACACTTTCCTTTTTTGGACGTTTCAAAATGAATGCCACACTTCCCATTTGGTAAACAAAACAGTGTCAAACAGTGCCAAACAGTGTTCAAACAGTGCCAAACAGTGTCCAAACAGTGTTCAAATAGTGTCCAAACAGTGCCCAAACAGTAAAATTTACCCCTTAGTAAATTTTTTCCTTAAATGTTGACAAATCAAACTATGTCAACCAAACTGAAACGGAGGGAGTATATGACATCTAGGGCTACCACTTTGGTAAGCCTCCCAATTATTCTCACATGTAACACACAACCATTAATTTATAACTTTATATGAAGAAGCTTCTTACACATAGTTCATACTAGGGATGGCCGGCCACATCCGTTTGGTTTAAACGAACCAAACCATACCAAATCAAACTAAACTGAAGCGAAATTGATAAAAACAGAACAAAACCGAACCGAACTAAAGAAATTCAATAAAACTCTGTTATATTTAATATAATATATTAATAACTGTGGAAAGTAGGGGTGGGCAAACGGGTCTTGGAACCGCGGTCCGGTCCGGGTAATGGCGGTTCGGGTCCAAAATGGGCCGGTTCCATTTTTTGTTGCCATAAAACGGTCCGGGTAGGTCCGGGTAATTTTTTTTAAGGACCCGGGCCGGTTCCAAAATAAAAAGATACCGCGTACCCGGCCCGGCCCGTTATATATATTGTATATTAATTTATTAATAGTTTTGTGATAATCGATTTTGAAATAGTTTTGTTTTCCTTTGCTAGAAGCAGGATTTTAAATTGACTTGCAGTAACATCATTTTGCTTTCAAATTATTGATTAAATTTTACATAAATTTCTTATTATTTTTATTGTTATTGAATTATTCCTTTCTATGGAATTTAATTATTTGTTAAAAATGATTTTGAAATATTTGTTTTTATAATATTGTTCTTAAAGTATATAAACTGTGATTACCACCCCCATGTATGTGTCAACTTTGACAAATACTGAAAATTTGTTCTTAAAATATATAAATTGTGATTACCACCCCCATGTATGTGTCACCTTAATATGTGATGTTAGACAACATTTTTAATTTCAAATGTTAGAAAATATGTATTTTGGCTATGTTGCTGATTTTTGGAACTTTAATTGTTTGAAACTTATATACATGAAATTATGAAGTATTTGACTTGTCACTTGTGTTACATGTGCACCACTATGTTGTTATTTTGAAACTTGCTAATATACTATATTATTAATTATTGATTTTTGGAACTTTGTGAGTTTTTACTAATTTTAAGATATGGGAATACGATAAAAAAAGATATGGGAATAGAAACTGTAAAACCCGGACCGGACCGACCCGTTTCAAACGGGCCGGGTAAGGTCCAATTCCTATTTTGAAAATTGCAATACCCGGACCGGACCGGACCGGACCGTACAATGGAACCGGCGGTTCCATTTTATTTTGCATTACCCGCCCCGACCCGGCCCGTGCCCCTAGTGGAAAGCTCTTCATGTTCTTATTCTAGACAAAAACACTTAATTAAAGAAACTTGTCAATTAATTAGAAAGAGTTTTCAAGTTCATATAAACTCATAAATATTTTCCCCAATTTTTTATTCTAAATGCATCAAATTTTCTTTGTTTAATATTCTTTTGTAAACAAAGATTCTTACTCGATAAAATGTGCATATTCATTTAATTAGTAACTAGTTTGAGATTTAATAAACTTTGAATTATTTTCATTGACAAATGTATTGAGTAACTAGTTTAATTTCTTATAACTTTATAGTGTTATTTTTTTAGTTTATGAATGATGATTATCATTTTCAATTAGTTTATTAACTAATTTAAGATAATATTTTTACATTTTTTTTTATTTTTTTTACTATATTATGGTTATATTAATACATAATTAGTTTGAGAATTTTACACCTTACAAGAAACTTTGCTAGCATAGACTTGTTTTTTTTTACAAAAAAAAAGGAATTTTAGGATAAAATGCATCGATACAGGACCCAGATGATGAAAAACTATCAATTTAGGATCTGAATGATTGAAAACTATCAATCTAGGACCTAAATTGTCATAAATTTTATTACTTTTTTATTTTGAAAATTTTAAGTATTATTTAGTTTTATTAAACTAATAAACTTTTGTGAAGAAAAGTTTATCAAAAATTAGTAATGGAATTAATAAAAAATTAAATAAATCAAAAACTATAAAATGTTAGGTCCTAAATTGATAGTTTTCCATCATTCAGGTCCTGTACCGATACGTTTCATCTTTCGGGTCCTGAATTGATAAATAATCTATCTTTCGGGTCCTGAATTGATAAAATTCCAAAAAAAAAAGAACCGAGGACTCCGACCGAACCGACCCTTTACATGTAAGGTTCGATTCCTATTTCAAGATTTGGTAGACACGGATCGAGCCTACCCGATAAATGGAACCGGCGACTCATAAATAATTATCAATTCGAACCGCGTCCACCCCCTATCTGGATCAATTCGAACCGCGTCGACCCCCTAGTCTGGTCTGGTCTAGTCTAGGGGTGGACTGGGTCAGGCCGAACCGGCCCGTGAACCGGACCGGCCCGCTACTGTGCGGGCCCGGACCAGACCGGGACCGGTTGGGCGGTTCCGGGCTTTTAGCCCGTGTAAGCGGGTCGGGCGGGCTGGGCTCGGGCCCTCTTTTTGTTGAACCGGCCCGGGCGGTTCGGGCCGGGCCCGGTTCTTTTTTTTTTTGTTTTTTCAATTTTTTTTTCTTTTCCTAGGTTAGGGCTGGGTGTTTTGGGGAGGTTTGGGGGTGGGGGTGAGGGGGGGTCGGGGATAACAAGAAAGCCAAAAAAAATTAAACATTAAACCGAACCCGGCCCGGTTAGGCCCGGACCCGTATCAACCCAAGTAACTGGAAAAAAAGTCCGCCCGGGCCTGGCCCGGAACCTGACCGGCCTGGGTCCATCCCTAGTCTGGTCTATTATGTAACATCAATTGAAGGACAAGCGTTGCCAGTTTGGCAATCCGCAGGTTGTTACAAGTCGTGGTCAGGTCTCCCGCTCAGCTATCTTGGAGGAATCTAAAACCCCATTTCCATTTCTGCTTGCGCTCTTCTTCCTTTCTCTAATTCTCTCTCTCAGAAACAAAACCCATAGACAGATGAAGAAGATTTCGGAACGTTTGTAATCGGACCGTTGGCAATCCGCAGATTGTTACAAGTCCATCACCGCTATCTATCTATATATTGGAAATTGACCGTTGCCTCATCTTTAAAACCCCATTTCTTCCTTTCAGACAGAGTGGCCCGCCGGAGTTCAAGATCGAAAATCTGGTGTTGAAAGTGATCGGAGCTCGTCAACGTCGACGCACGTCTTGTTCCTGCCGGTAGTTTTCGTAATCCAATCTTTTCTTGAATACCCTCTTAATTTTTTAGTCCGATCCTAGAGTGCGCCTTCTTCTGTTTTTTACTTTCTTGATCAATTCTATGATGAAAAGTACATCGTTTTTTTACTTTCTTGATCAATTCTATGATGAAAAGTACATCGTTTTTTACTTTCTTGATCAATTTTATGATGAAAAGTACATCTTTTTTTACTTTCTTGATCAATTTTATGATGAAAAGTACATCGTTTTTTACTTTCTTGATCAATTTTATGATGAGAAGTACATCGTTTTTTACTTTCTTGATCAATTCTATGATGAAAAGTACATCGTTTTTTACTTTCTTGATCAATTTTATGATGAAAAGTACATCGTTTTTTACTTTCTTGATCTATCCATGCATGAATTCTGAAAACAGGGTCTTCTGTCTTCTGATGAAAATATTATTAATAACTTGCAGAAATCTTTAAATCATTAAAACCCCATTCCTCCCTTTCAGAAAGAAAACCCAGACAGACAGAGGTTTTGAAGGCGATCGAAGCTAGTCAACGTCCACACTCTGACACAAGCCTTGTTCCAGCGGTAATTCTCGCAATCCAATCTTTTGTTGAATACCCTGTTAATTTTTCAGATGCTCAGTCCGATCCAATTCAAGAGCTTTGTGTTGTACTTTGATTCTATGATGAAATACTTTCTTGATTCTTTGATTGATCCGTGCATGTTTATAGCTAGATTTTTTGCTCTGAGAAGTTTTGATTTATTGAACACCCAATTTTAATTTTATTTGTTTTTTATTCAAATATGAAATCTATTTTTGGGTCTTTGGGAGCATGAGAGCATCTCCTGCAGAATCTTGACTAACTTTGTGTCTCTTAGGCTTCCACTTACATACTGCAGCGAGTTTTCATATACTGTAAAGTTGTTCACAACGGTGGATTCACTTTAAATTTCGTTTCAAGTTTTCAACTGGTTGTTTTTCTGTTGGCCATTATTTTAAAGCTGATTTGCTATTGCAGCAAACAAAATTAATAGATTCTATACCACTTCTCAAGAAACTTACTCAAACAAAAAACTAGTGTTAATATTTGGTCTTCATTTTATAGGACTTTTATTCTGCATGTTCTAGCATCTTTTGTTCATAATTGCCATACCAGTCTGTAACATCAGTATTACTGCAAGTAAGCTATTAGGAGACAAGCTTCTACCACCGTTTTTATTTGAAAAATGTCATTTCAATTTGTTTTTTTTCTGAAGTAGTAGCAGATTGATATTGTGATACACGATACAGCATAGAGTTTTAGTTTTTATTATGTGCATGAGATAATATGTTGTCTGGAGTCTTTATAAATACATGAAATATGAAGTCATTGGCTGGTTGAAAAGGATTACTATGCGGCAAGGGAATTCTCGACCTCTCAATTGTTTAACATCAAAAAAATCCTGCAGGTCAGTGTTGTGGCAGCACTTGCAACCTTTCCCCGCAGTGCCACAAATCTTGCAAATAGAGCATGTAGTAAGACTTCCAACCTTGCCGGGAACAACATTTTCGACACTGTGTTCTCTGTATGCACAACACGGGGTAAATTTCCCTTCTTTTTCAATTGTAATACATGTCCGAGTCCAGAACAGGCTTACTGAATGACTCTTGTTTCCCCTGCAGAA